CTAAGCCTCTTTCTATACCTGTAAAATTGGGATATGAAATGTTTCCTCTTCATCAGAAGCAAGTGGAGAATGTAGAATGTAAAATCCTTCTTAGCGGGGCTCTTGTGTCTGAGGTCCTTATGACTAAGGAAAAAGATGGGATGAATACTAAAAAACCAGCAACGATGGCCACAGAAAGCACCTGATCAGCTCTATTTGGCTGCATCAACGTGGAGCATTCCTTTTAGACACAGCATTGTGCCAAGTCCCTGCAGAAACATGTCCCTCCCTCCATCTAGACTGTGCATGGTCAGTGATGCCTGGTCTGAACAGTCAGGATGAAGATGGCAGAACTGGCTTCATACAGAGCCCGTGGCATGACCCTGACTGTCTCATGCAATGAGACCCTCATGAGGACCCTACTCTCAGGAGAGGGTTGTGTAGGCTTGGAGGGTGCCTCAACTTTCAGGGACTCACTCTCATTCTCTCAAGCAAACCCCAGAACTATACCTGGCCCATCTCATCCACAATCCCGCATTACTTTAAGCATCTTGTCTGAAACCCTGTCTCTCCAGTCAGGAGTGGAAGCATCCAGTGCTCACCTAGGGGCAGGAGGCAGCCTAGGGACCAGCCCCAAAAAGCCCTTCATCTCTTTCTGGAGCTCAGCTTTGTACCTTCTATCAAGAGAGCAGAACGTCACAGGGCAAAGAACTCTCCCAGGGCAAAGTTTTGCCTGGTGCAGCCAGAGAGGACGCTAATGAATAGTGACTCCTCCCTGTCTATCGGGCTTGGAGACCACAAAGAATGTTAACCTGGGATCTTTGAGGAGCTGTACACAAGGTAGATTTCTGACAGGTCCCTACCTGCGTCCTAGTGAAGCTGTCTGAGCAAACCCCATCACCCCAAATGCTCCGCACCACCAGGGGGAGCCATGGAGTTGCATGATCCATCAGCACTAATCTTTGTCTACAACCTCCTGGGGATAGGGATAAGAAGCAGACAGAGAAGGTGAGAGGCAGGAGCCCCGAATCTGCTTCCAGAGAAGATGGAAGTGAAATGAAGAAATAATAATGACATCAACAATAGCAATAACATTACTAATAACATTAGTAGTTTTCTAACATTAGTAGAAACATCCTGTAGTTTTCATTCCTGTTTGGTGAGATTGTAAATCTTGACATACGTTAGTCTCTGTATGGGTGGGGGTCAGGGGTCAGGAAGCATTTGGGAGTCAAAGAGGATGGAGAAGATTGATGCAGGGATCCCTGCAATTCTCTGGGTGAGCAGCAGGGGGCGCCATGACTAGGGCAGCGAATGTTGAGTTGGATGCACAGACATAAGCAGAGTCTGTAGGAAGTCCACAGACTCTGTCTCAGAAGGAAAATTACTTGATTTCTGTGTGCCTCAGAGTCCTTATCTGCAAGCAGACATCAGAGCTTCTATCTTTATGAGCCTGCGAACAAAAACCAGGCAGAATAAAAACAACCAGAGCAGCAACAACAAACAATAACAAGAGCCAAACCAAGTAGAGAGATGGTCCCTTCTATCATCTGACCCTGAAATCCAGCCACATTTAAAACCAGGTCCACCCCTCAGATTTCTCAGACAACAGAAGTCAATGCATTATTTTCCCCTTTCAAAGTGGGGGAGGGGGAAGCATGCTGTAACACTGGAGGGAAACAACTATGATTTTTTATAAAAACATTAATTCCATTATGCGTTTCCTTAAGGTTGCCCAATGTACACATTGTGCGAGAGGCCACGAGAGTTGCTACAAAGCCCTTTGGAGATGGAGATCATGAAGCCGGCAAATGGTCAAGGGCTGTGAGTCTCCGAAAATCGGTCCTGGTCAGTGATGATGACATCTCCACCTGCAAACCTGTCTCCAGAGAAGACACATTCCTATCCACTCGTGCTGCTGATCCTCCTAAACGATTCCAATGGGCTTTTGCCCAGCGAGAAAGGGATATTTGGATGTACATTCACATTCTCTTTCTTATTCATCAGAAGTTATTTTTCTGTGCCCTTCACATTCTCAATAATTACTAAGAGAAATTCCTTGATTAACTCACACTCTATACCTGAACATTTGTGCATCTCACAGTGGTTCCCTTTGAGCCCCTTTCCTTTTGAGTTTAAACCTTCCTTGGAGTAATCAGAATAACCTCCAAATAGGTAAGACTAAAAGAGATGATGTTTATTCATTTTGTACATGCTTAAAACATAAACTGTATTTTTGCTAGTTGCAGCTAAGACTTGTATTTTAAAACAGGGCACTAACTTTCCTTCCTTCTATGTTAAAACATTTAAAAATATCTTAAAATCTTAAAAATCATTTTAAATACTGGGATAAATTTCTTTAAACATAAATTTCCAATAATTTCTTTAAAAAGTCCTATCTATTTCAGCACTCTATCTCTATTTCAGAACATACTCTATTTCAGAACTCTAATATCACTAGAGCCTCCAAAGAGTCCCCAGAGTTTTTAGGCATAAAAATTCTCTTGTCTTTCAGCAGACACTTGATCAGTTTACCAGCATCAATAATCTCAGCTATGAATTCGTATGGCAGAGTCTATATGCTGGAACATTAAATTAAAAAATGAAGTGATTTATTTTCTTCTAGCTGTTCCAAAAATAAAGCATGTAAAAACTTCAATCGCAAATATAAAATACTGTCAGAAAAGAATGTTAGACACTTTTTCATTATTAGACATCATTATTAAATATAAGTGAAAAATAATATAGAAAATAATACCTATTGTTTAAGAGGCATATATATATATGTGATGGTAATAAGAAGCCTGGCTTCATTTAAGTTAGATTACATCTATTTGTGGATACAAACAGAGGCCCGCGTATGAGAGCAGAGAAGGGCAGAGGAAGGAAGCAGTGGGGAGGATGGTGCTGACTATGTGGGGCCCTGCTGGCCACACAGCAATCTGGAGCTTTTAGGGAGAGCATAGATTCAATGGGACTTTCACTCTCACAGGACCCCTCAGCCTCCCTGAATAGAACAGACTCAAGTGGGTCATGGCAGCCACAGAGAAACTAGAAAGGTGCTTCCTGGGTTCTCTAGGAGGAGGGATAGGGGCTTGAACCAGGGAGGCAGGGGTAGGGTGAGGATATACTTTTGGATGTGTGTGGAAGGTTGAGCTCACAGAGTTTTCTAATGGATGTGGTCAGCAAGGGAAGGCAAGACCAAGGATGAGGCCCGAATAGTCCCCTGAGCACCTGAAAGGAAGGAGCTGTGTCCATAGAGGACTCAGAGGGAAGGCTTTCAGGGGTAATGATAATTCTGAAAATCCCCCTGACATCCAAATGGGAATAGGACAGAGACAGCTAAATGCAAATGCCTGGAGTACAGGAGGGGGGTCCAGGCTGGGGATGTTTCAATGCACAGCTGGAGTAAAGTGATGATCACATATGAGGTAAGGAAGTGATGATGACAGGCGGAAGAGGAGACATATTTGTCATTGGTGCTTTTGTGACCAATATATGCTATCTTCAATCTTTCCGATAACAGTCATCCTAATGGATACAGTCAGATCTGTGCCACACGATCTAGGAAGGCAGATTTCCAAATCTCGGGTAAGAGATCAGCATGGCCACACAGTCTGAAACTCTTGACAAACAAGAGGGAGCAAGAGGGTTAGGAAATTTCTGAAAAACTAAATTCCAACGAGACAATTACAAACACATGTTAATGCCCAAACAAGCAACTCACAAAAGAAAACTACAAATAGCCATAAACATGAAAAACTAATCCTGAACTTTTATTAGAAGGGGAACCTCAAACCCACACGATTGGAAGTCATTCACCTCTGCACAGAGTGGAGGGAAACTCCGAAATCAAGTGTTAAATATACCTTAAAAATGAAGATGTGAATCTCACTGCATATATTTAGTGATCTTTATCAGGCATAATTCACATGAAATAAGGTGTCTATATATTACACTTATATTATCTGAAAATATGTCTTTGGGCCGCATTTAACTATGAGAAGCATATTTTTTCATTGAAGAAAATGCTAATCTCTCTTATGAGGACCTTAAAAAAAATCGCTCCTGTCCACGCTACACTGAGTGGCAGAATTAACTGAAGAGAAGTGTCTTCTGCACTACTTCATAGAATCAGTGTTCTTCTTTATGTTTTACGTGAAGATGCTGCATGGTTCTTATTTTGGAGGTGTCATTGAAACTGCAAATCTGTATACTACTTATCAGGGAAAAATTCTATAGCCACATTTCTTTAAAAATACCCAATATGCTACCATGACACATGGCAAAATCATCAGTGCCCACAGCTCTAAAGCCAGACGGTGTGTGTGTGCTAAGGATGTGAGGTGATGGATGGGACCATCTCAAGGGTAGGGGCCAGGTCAGTGCTATCTCTTCTCTCCATTGCCACCTACACACAGATACTCACTATTTATTTGGTCAATCAATGAATCGCTTCCATCTTCACTACACCTAGGGCCACTCTTCATTTTTTTAGTCCCGACACTCCCATACACCCTACAGAATCCTATATCCTGCAGGATCAATGACCTCATGGCTCTAGATGAGGCTGTGACTGGGGCCAGGAGTGACCAGTTCCCAGGTGTAAACAGTGATGCACATAAAAACACCTCAGAGTGAGAGGGTCTTCAACATGGGTGTCCCACACTTTAGATGTCCCCAGAGGTCCTGGTCCAGGCTCTGGCATTGAGGGAAGTCCTGAGGTGGGAGGCAGAAAGTGATCTCTGCTCCTTTTCTGGTCCCCTTTGGGCAGGTCTCTGAGGTCACTTGGCTTTGGAGTTTTCCTCCATTCTGTGCAGAGGCGGATGACCTCTGACCATCTGTGGGTTTGAGGTTCCTCATATGTGAACTGCCAAGATCTCATGCTTCTCCCCCCATGACCTGGTTTAGTCCCCACAGTCCTCTTCTCTGCTCACACAGGAAGCTCAGGAAGTCTCTGCCGCCGAGATGCTGCTGCTGCCGCTCCTGCTGCCACTACCCCTGCTGTGGGCAGGTGAGTGTTCCTGGGGCTGTGAGAGGGGCTGTGGGGATGAGCCCAGCTGACCCTCATGTCTCTACAGGGGCCCTCCCTCAGGATGCAGGATTCCGGCTGGAGGTGCCAGAGTCCGTGAGGGTGCAAGAGGGGCTGTGCGTCTTTGTGCATTGTTCAGTCTTCTACATACAGTATGGCTGGAAAGATTCTACTCCTGCTTATGGGTACTGGTTCCGGGAAGGGGTCAGTGTAGACCAGGACACTCCAGTGGCCACAAACAACTCAACTCAAAAAGTGCAGAAGGAGACCCAGGGCCGATTCCACCTCCTCGGTGATCCCGGGAGGAACAACTGCTCCCTGAGCATCAGAGACGCCAGGAGGAGGGACGATGGTTCATACTTCTTTCGGGTGGAGAGAGGAAGAATAAAATTTAGTTACAAATATTCCCAGCTCTCTGTGCATGTGACAGGTAAGGCATGGGCTCCAGGAGTGGCACAAGGGGAAAGTTAAGGGGGCCACGGGGAAGGGCTCAGATGGGACTTGTATCCTTGAAGGGTGTTGGGAATGAAGCATGTCAGGCTCAGGAGAGGAGCTGGACCACCGCCTGAGCTTCCCACAGGGCCACACCTTGGATATCCCTCCTGATCCTGCATCCCCACCTCTGTCTTTACCAGCCCTGACCCACAAGCCCGATATCCTCATCCCGGAGTTCCTAAAGTCTGGCCACCCCAGCAACCTGACCTGCTCTGTGCCCTGGGCCTGTGAGCAAGGAACACCCCCCATCTTCTCCTGGATGTCTGCTGCCCCCACCTCCCTGGGCCCCAGGACTCTCCACTCCTCAGTGCTCATGATCACCCCACGGCCCCAGGACCACAGAACCAACCTCACCTGTCAGGTGACGTTCCCTGGAGCTGGTGTGGCCACAGAGAGAATCATCCAGCTCAGTGTCTCTTGTGAGTGCTGGGGCCAGGATGCCTAGGTCCCTGAGGGTGTAGTGGGGAGAGGAGGACCCGGAGATAGGAGGACCAGGACTGGGGCCACTTGGTGGCTGTGTCTTGGAGGCCTCGCTGAGTAGGGGAACTATAAGGACCTAAGCTGTCACTCGACATTTCTGTGGGTTTCTAGAGGAGTGCCTACCTTCATCTCACTCCCACCCCAACTAAATGAGAAATTCTCTCTTGTTGTACTAGATCCTAAAATGAACCCAGCGATTGAAGCCTCCCTAGAAGATGGCATAGGTAGGACAGAGCCCCTACCTGTGGCACTGAAGAGCAGGGCCTTCAGCTCAGGGCAGAGCCAGGCTCTTGCCTCATCCTGACTCACCATGGTAACCAGAGACCCCCTGTTGGCCAACTCAGGGACCACCCCCATCCCCAACTCCCATGGATATCTGAGCACATGTCTGCATAGGCCCACAGATTCCTCCAAACACAGGTCCTGGCCCCACAATAAGGACCAAGTGACATTCATACAGCAGGACCAGCCTTTGAGCCCTTTATCCTCCACCTCCTAAATACTCCTCCAGCCTCAACTTTTAATATTTCCCAGTAGTTTAATGTACTTCTGGACAGGTAATATAATCATATGGGCAAAAATGCTAACTCCATAGCAGAGTATGTCCTCAGAACCAACCAGTGTCCATCCTGGCTGCTCTGAGCCTTGGTGTATTCCCTGGAAGGATCTCAGAGGTCATTTGGTATCAGCAGCACAGACTGTCCTCACTCTCCTCTTGGACTGTGTCGTGTCCATTGAAGAGTTGGATCCTAATTCTGTAAATATCTTCTCGAAATGGAAAATCATGTTTCTACCAACAGAACAGTGGATTCAACAGTCTTCTATCTACTTTACAAGTCTATGTCTATGTCTGTGGGAGCAGTTCTTTAAAGCAAACATCTGGGTCTTATGTTCTTTCTGATTTTGAGAGATATGGGGAAATTGTTTTCAATCAACAGTGGACAAGTTTACATTTCCAACAGCATGGGGTGAAAGTCTTGTCTTTTCTTTCTTTCTTTTTTTTCTTTTTTTTTTTTTTGAGAGTTTCACTCTGTCCCAGGCTGGGGTACAGTAGCATGGTCTCAGCTCACTGCAACCTCCGCCTCATGGGTTCAAGCAATTCTCATGCCTCAGCCTCCTGAGTAGCTGGTAGACTACAGGTGCCTGCCACCACGCCTGGCTAATTTTTTGCATTTTAGTAGAAATGGGGTTTCACCATGTTGCCCAGGGTTGTCTCCAACTCCAGAGCTCAGGCAATCTGTCTCCCTCAGCCTCCCAAAGTGCTTGGACCACAGACATAAGCCACCATACCCAGCCGAAAGTGTGTTTTCCTCAACCCAATGTGGAATGAAACCTTTTGCTTTTTCCCAGTATTAGATGAAAATTGGGATCTCCATATAATTTTTTTTCATTATGTGAACTTTTAAAATTGAGATAAAATTAAATTGAGATAACATTAAATTTGCCATTTTACTCATTTTAAATTTTATGGTAAACTGGCTTTTAGTCACATATTGTACAACCATAACCATGATCTAATCCAAGAACATTTTCTTTACTTCAAAACTCCACTCCGTCCCCATTAAGCAGTCACTTCTCATTATCCCCTCCTCTGGCAAGCACTAATCTGCCTTCTGTCTCTACAGATTTGCCTATTTCTGACATTTCATGTAGCGGAATCACACAAAATGCAGCCTCTTGTGTCTGATTTTTTTCACATAACGTAATGCTGTCAAGATTCACCCCTGTGCTATGCATGAGTTCTTCATTCCTTTTGAAATCTAATATCCCATTGTGTGGAGAGACCACGTTGTGCTCATTCACTCCTCAGCTGATGAACATTACAGCTGTTGACACTTTTTGGCGATTACTAATAATACTGCCAGGAACATTCATGTACAACTTTTGGTTGGAACCTATGTTTTCATTTCACTCGAGCATATCCCTGGCAGTGGAATTTTTAGGTCATGCTGGAACCCTGTGTTTAGCTTTTTGAGGAAATGCCAGACTCTTATCCAGTGTCAGCACCACTTTACATGGCACCAGCAACATACAGAGTTGCAAATTCTCCATATTCTTTTGAACATTCTCATTTTTCTTTTTAAAAAGAACTATGGCCTTCTAGTGCAGGTAAACTCATTGTGGCTACAATATGCATTAACATACTGGTGAATGGTATTGAACATATTTTCATGGACTAATTGGTATTTGTATCTTTTTTTGGAGAAGTTTCACTCAGCTCTTTGTCTACTTTTTAATAGGTTAATTGGGGTTGTTTGTAATTTGAGTGGTTTGTAAATTACATGCTCTTTTTATATGCTGCATACTACACCCTTATCAGATCCGTGCTTTACAAATGTATTTTCCCACTCTGTGGGTTGTATATTTACTTTCTCGATAGTGCCATTCAATGCAAAATAGTTTTTAATTTTGATAAAAGTCCAAATTATGTGTCATTTCTTCCTCCAATTGTTGGACACTCAGGCACAGCTTAGGGTGAGCCCTGGGCTGATGTGGTACCACATCCAAGGATGCAGGAAGGATCTGGAGAACCAATGTCCAAGTTGTCTTGGGAGAGGAAGGACATGGCTTGTGGTTTAGCAGGTGAATGGGCCTCATCCCCCCTTTTTGCAGGGAAATCAGGAACCATGGCAGAGGTGGTTGTTTTGGCCGTGGGAGTAGCGGCTGTGAAGATCCTGCTTCTCTGCCTCTGCCTCATCATCCTCAGGTGAGCACTGCCTGAAGACCAAGGGCAGGCATAGGGAGGGCAGAGGACATGATGCTGAATCTCAGAATCTCAATCTTGGGGCTATGCAGACAGTTTAAGAGGGACTGGGGCCAGGCAGGAGGCTGAATTGGTGGTGAGAATTTCAGATAGGCCATTTGTAGTCAGTTTGTATCTTTCCCAACTGTGGGACAAATGCCAGGATGGGGAGCTTCCTCCTGTCATCAAGGAGGTCCAGACCTGCTCTTCTTCCCTCCTGATCCCTCCAGCCTCTTAACAGAGCACAGGAAGGTGAGTTGGCTGCCCTTTGCTCCCCCATGTGGCAACACTGACAGGCCCTTGTCTCTTCACTCAGTGTCAATTTCTACAAGAAGGCAGCGGTGAGGGCAGTAGAAGTCCAGGAGAATGTATACACTGTCATGGGTTAATCTCTCAGGTGAGTGATGTGGACCTCTCACCCTCCAACATCCTGCTGGACACCTCCTCCACAATGGCCTCCAGGATTGTTCTGCTCATGGCCAAAGTTAAACTAACTCTCTTCCTCCTCAAATCCACTTCTCCTGGGATCTTCATCCTGCAGATGACACAGAGGCCTCATCTCTAAAGTCAGAACCAGGGTGTGGGTCTCCACCTTGACCCCCTCTCTTCTCCAGATCCCATAAATCACTAGCTCTTGTCTCCCCTTCTTCTAAGCAGGGCTCATCTTGGTACCCTTTTCTCCATCTTGACCCTGGTCATTCTTGCTGCTCACCTCTTCCCTGGTCACTGAACCCTTTTCACCTCCTGCCTCCATCTCTCCCCAACACAGGCCTCCAGATGTCTCCTCATCCAGTTCATCCACAGTCTGAACAGCCATGTTTCCTCTCCATTGCTGGAGAATGAAGTGAAATGCCTTTCATGATCTGTCCTCTGCTGGACTCTGCTCCTGATCCCCCTTTTTCTTGCATCACCCAAAGTCTCACCACACCCATTAAGCCAAGCCCTCTGTGACTCTGAGACTTTGCATGTACAGTTCCTTCTCCTGAAATGCCCTTCCTCCCCATTCCTGCCAATCCAGGTCTTTATCATCCTTCAGGTTGTCTTAAATGTCACCCAGGTGCGTGTGTATTTTTGTGTAATTCTTGTATTATATCAAGCAGAGATGTGGCATTTATTCATTCATTTGTAGACATATTCAGTAACTATACTTGATATATATAACTACTATGTGCTAGCATTTCTGAAGTGCAAGAAATTCATCAACAGATATAGACTCAAAGGTCTCTGTCATCAAGCTGTCGTTCTGAAGAGCAGAAGGATAAAAATAAAAAGAAGTAAGTAAAACAATATCTCCATGTTAGATGGAGATATTTGTTTAGATAAAAATAACACAGGGAAAGAAGCACAGAATGTACTGGGAAACAGTTTCTATATCTGACAGTGGAAAGAGGTGATGTTTAGGCAAAGACATGAAGGTGCTTAAGAGGCAGGCTCTGTTTTTGAATAAGAGAAAAGCATTCCAGGAAGAGGATAAGGGGAAGAGCAAGCGCATTGCTCAGAGGTAGCAGCAGGCCTGGATGCTGCAGACACAACCAGGGCCCCGTGTCTGAGAGTAGAGGAAGGCTAAGGAGGGGAACAGCAGGGAGGATGCTGCAGACTGTGTGGAGTGCCGCAGTGCATACAGGAACCTGGAGCCTTTGGAAGAGCAGACACAACTGGACTCTCACTCTGACCTTGACTGCCCAGGTCAGAGCTCCCCCAAGTGGGTCATGGCAGCCACAGGGAGACTGGGAAGGCACTTTTGGGTCCTCCAGGAGGAGGGATGAGGACTGAGCCAGCGAGGCAGGGTGGGCTGTGGACATGTTTTTGGATGTGTGTGTAAGGTCAAGCTAACAGAGATCACAAGCTCACAAGCTAATGATGTGTTCAGTGAGGGGAAGGCAAGACCAAGGATGAGGCCAGAAAGGACTGCAGAAAGAATGGCTTTCTTAGGAAATGATAATTCTGAGAATCCACCTGACATTGCAATGGGAATAGGATGGAGACAGCTGGATGTAAATGTCAGGAGCTCAAGACAGGGGTCCAGGCTGGAGACGTTAAAATGCACAGCTGGAGTACAGCCATGACAACAGACAAAGTAAGGAAGGGGCAGTTACGGACAGAGAAGAGGACACACATTGGTCATTAATGACCTTGGCAGCAGTAGGTTTTTGTTTTCTTGTTTACTAACTCTGATCATTTACTTAGATCCTCTTTGATTTTTTAAAACCATATTTTCTGCTTTACTGAAGTGTAATTGATGAATTAAAATTGTATATATTTACAGTGTATGTGATATTTGGTGGCTATTCACCTCTTCCCTTCATTATTATTCTCACTTAATTGACAGACAAACTTGTATGTATTCGTAGTAAACAACATCACATTGTGAAATACTGTATGTATACATGGTAGAAGGCCAAGTCTAGCTAAATAACAGACCCGTTACCTCACACACATGAATAACTGCAAGTTAAACTAACACCCTGTGGTCATCTGAAGATTGCTTTGTATCTGGCAATATTCATTTTCTTTCTATTTGTTTTATTTTTCCTTGTGATAACAACATTTAAAATTTACTCTCTTAGCCATTTTGAAATGTATGACATAGTATGTTTAACTGTAGTCACCATGCTGTACCGGAGATCACCAGAACTTATTTCTCCTGTGTAACTGAAACTTGGTTCTTTCACCAACATGTGGCCATGTCCCTGAACCTGAGATCCTGGCCACCAAGGCTCCACCCTCATTTTATGACTTTGAATTTTTCAGATTCCACATAAAACTGAGATCACGCAGCAGTTGGCTTTTTGTGCCTGGCTTATTTCACATAGCCTAATGTCACCCAGATTCATCCATTCTGCCAGGGGCAGGATTTCTTTCCTTTTAAGGCTGAATAATATTCTACTCTGTGGATACTTACACTGATTCCACATCTTAGCTATTGTGAATAATGATGTAATAAACATGGAAGTGAAGCTATCTCATGGGTTACTGATTTCCCTTCCTTTGGATATATACCAAAAATGGTAGTTCTATCTTTAATTTTTTTGAGGAAACTCCATACTGCTTTTCATAATGGCTGTACTAATTTACATTTTCACCAATAGTGCACAAGGGTCCTCTTCTCCACATCCTCACCAATACTTGTTGCCTTTTGTCTTTTTTATAATATCCATTCAAACAGGAGTGGGATGATGTTGCTTTGCCATTTTTGTAAGCATTTCCCAAATGATTAGTAATGTTGAGCATTTTTTCACATGCCTGTTGGTCATTTGTATATCTTCTTTTGAGAAATGTCTATTCAGTTCCTTAACCCTCTTTTAAAAGGGTCGTTTTCTTGTTACTGAGTTTTTTCAGTTCCTTCTATAGTCTATTTGCTATAGAGGAATACCTGAGGCTGCATAATTTACAGACGAAAAGAGTTTATCTGGTTCACACTTCTGCAAGCTGTATAGTCAGCCTCACACCAGAATCTGCTTTTGGTGAAGGCCTCTGGTTGCTTCCCCTCATGGAGGAAAGTTAAAGAGAGCTGGTGTGTTCAGAGGTCAGTCATGGTGACAGAGAACAAGAGAGAGGTGGGAGGTGCCAGTCTATTTAAACAATCAGCTCTCCAGTGGAAACTACCTGTCCCTATGACCCAATCACCTCCCATTAGACACTTCCTACAATACTGCAGATCAAATTTCAACACGAGATTTTTGAAGGGTCAAATATCCAAACCCATAGCAGATATTAACCTCTTACCTGATGTATGGTTTGCAAACATTTCCCCCCATTCTCTAGGTTGGCTCTTAATTCTGTTGTTTCTTTGCTGTGCAAAAGTGTTTTATTTTGATGTAATCTCATCTGTCTATTTTAGCTTTTGTTGCCTGTGTTTTTGGGGTCATATAAAAAAATGATTACCTTGATCAACATCATGGAACTTTTTCCTGATGTTTTCCTCCAGCAGTTTTATAATTTCAGGTCTTACATTTAAGTCTTGGCTTTGTTTATCGTGTGAGATAACTGAATCAATTTTATTGGAGTGGCGAAAAGGGTCTTAAGATTTAATTGGAGAAAGTTCAGAAAAGAATCAGAGGGAGGGGGAGGGGGAGGTGAGAAGAGTGAGTACAACAGCCCTTTAAGGAGCTGTGATGCAAAGGAGAAGAGAGAAATAGGTCTGGAGAAGGAGGGCTTTTCTCAGTTCGCTGCACTCTTCCATAGGTGCTCGATGAATTCATCCCTGGAGAATAGTCTCCTGTAACCACCATGGAAAATTACCACAAACTTGATGTTTTAAAACAAAATATATTATTCTCTCACAGGGAGGTCAGAAATTTGAAATCAGTAAAGCTGGAGAGAAAACAAGTTGTTGGCTGGACTGCAACACTAGGAGACTCGAGAGAATCCATTCCTTGCTTTTTCCAGATTATTTCAGCTCTTAACATTTCTGGACTTCTGGCAAAGCCACTCCTGCCTCTGCCTCTGTGCTCATATGGCCTTACCCCATTTTGTGTGTATCAACTCTCCCTCTGCTTCTCTCTTGTCAGAACACTTGTGATTAGATTTAGGGTCAGCTGTGTAAGTCTCCACTGGTCAAGATTGTTAACTTAGTCAAATCTAAAAGAGACTTTACTTATATAGTAACATATAGAGGGTTCAAGGAACTAAGACTTAGGTTTCTTGGGGGGGGTCATTTTTCAATTCACTGAACCGAGCTGCCAGGTGACTTTCTGCACCCCTAGAATGCCTCCATCTGCCCTCCAGCCATGTCTTCTCTTTATTGTTATTTTCCCTGTTCTTCCTCATCCTGACACACTAGAGGATCACCTTGTGTAACAAATATTTATGGAAATTGGGGGCTGCTGTACTATAAGAGACATTGTTAGGACAGCCAGAAGATAAGTTACAGACAGGGCGAAAATATCTGAACATAGATACCTAATGAACGACTTGTATCCAGAATATATCAAGGACTCTCAAAATAAAAATACCAGTAAACAACAACCAAAAAAGCCCAGATTTATAAACAAAAAAAAGCAGGCACTCAAGAACAAAAACCAAACACACTACTAAAAATGAACAAAGATCCTTTATCTCATTAAAAATAAAAAGATAAAATTTAAAAAATAAAAAATGAACAAAGGGTGTGAATGACATTTGTACAACAATACAAAAATGGCTGAAAAGCACATAAACAGATGATCAACATCACTAGTTATTAGGGAAATGCAACTCAAAACCACAACACAAAAATGTCAGTGGGGCCAAAGCTGATTATCGGAGATTTAACACCCCACAGGCAATGGATTTATACACATTAGGGACCTTTCCTGCTATATCGACATCTTCTTACACTTTGCAAGCAGAGAGTACTGAAATCAAATCTGTACTGTTTCATTTGCTAAGTGTATATCATGCAAGCTCCTTAACCTTCCATGTTTCCATTTTGGGCTCCCTAAAATGAGTACAAGACCTCCTATCTCACAGAGATATTGTGAGGGTTAAATAAAGCTACACATGAAAAACACCAATCCTGGTGCATAGTGACAGTTTGGTGCATAATGGTTCCTTCCCCCTTGAACAGAAGACGCTAGTGACATTTGGTCCAGAGTTCTCATGTGGTCTCATCCCTGAAACTCTATCAGCAACATGTCTGTCTCACTCGATGCTCAAAACCCGAGCAGA